ATACTTCTAAGAGTTTAACCATATTTATATTCTAAGGTTCAAGTTTAATCAAATAAGAAGAATTTCACATCAAAGATTTAAATATTAAAAGTTGCATAGCATTAAAGACTCTCTAACTAAGGGTTTTATATAAAATATTTAAATTAATTTCTTAATTTTGTTTACCTCAATTTAAAAGTATGAACCCCTTTGATAAAAACTAACTCTCGTGGAAAATGTCTATGGGTACATACAATGAAATTGGTGCCGAAAACGGCTAACATTGATAAAAATTTAAAGACAAGAGTCAAACAGGCCGGTATTGAAAGATAATAAGGAAAGTTTAACCCTAAAGTATGAAAATTGTATATGATGAAATTATTGAAGATTCATTCAGATGTACACAATGTACATTCAAAATAGGACATTTAATTCAAAGTTGTATTTAAAGTCGATATAACACAAGCTCTATTGAGCTTTTCAAATCGACTATACGTGTACAACAATATATACACACATGATATATCAACAAAATTAATGCTTAAACAATACAAAATACAATGTTAAGACAATAAAAGTTTGACATAAAAGGAACAGTTCGTCTAAGGTCTTATGAAAACTATGTGCAAATTAACTATATTTAAAACATATTATTCAAAATTTTAAATTTTAAAGAAACTATAAGAAAACAATACATATGAAAGATTTAAAGTCTACATGCATGCACTAGCATTAGCTGCTATTAGGGTCCAATGTTTGAACCATTTTTGACTAATCAAACGATATTTCCCTACGACAATGGTTTGACAGCTTATTCCAGATCTATGCAGCATTGTACCTAAATGATTTAAGGCCATATTTTGTAGTTTTTACTTTAGGAAGTGCTGCTGTTTTCTGTGACCTAAAGTTACATTTTTTATTTTGATTGAATAGTGTAGGTAACTTGGACTTTTTTTTTATTAATAATCTTAAATGTTTCAATAGCAATAGGTTTTATTCATCGAACTTTTAAAGACGGTAGTTTTGATTTTTCCAATAAATTTTCATAAGATATATTATAATCTTCATAAATGAATCTTCAAGCTCTTTTTTGAATTTTTCAAGTTTAAAAGATCTTTTCTTACCAAAGTAGTGCCAATAACTGGACAAAAATTTAAAAAAATGAAAGAATGAAAGAATAGTACGTTGTTAACCTGCCTTAATCATTTAAATCCGTTTTAAAATGTTTAACTGTCTTGATGTCTTTTTACAAATTTCAGAAATAAGACTATTAAAATTTAAGTCCGAATATATGATTACCCCTAAGAGTTTAACATTATCTTCACAAGAAATTTTATATCAATTTAAATCTTACGTTTATTTGTCTTTTTACCAATAGCTAAAGCCTGGATTTTGTCAGGACTTACTTTCAATAAATTTATAGAAAACCAGTTTATTATATTTCAACTATCAATTTTTAAGTATTTACAATTTTATCAACGACGTCATGATCACAATATAATACATTAGCTCTTATCAGCAATAATTGATAAAAACCAAAATCACTCTTAAAATCAATAATGGATAAAAACCAAAATTAATCTTATAATCAATAATTGGTTAAAATCAAAAGCACTTGTATTATCATATATTGATAAAACCAAAAACACTCGTATTATCAATAAATGATAAAAACCAAAAGCACTCGTATTATCAATAAATGATAATAAACAAAAAGTGCTCGTATTATCAATAAATGATAAAAACAATCGTATTATTTATAATGCACAGGGAGGGAACGGAAAAAATAGAAAACTGCACAGCTACCGGAACTTCTGTTCGTCGAAGCGAGAGTAGTTCAATAACAAGTGGCTCACATAAAGTTTTTAAATAGTCAATGTAAAGTAAAAGCGTTAAAGTTAGTGATAGTTGCCCTAGTTTACTCTGTTTGATCATTTACTAGAAGCGGAATAAATTTTGTATTATGTTCTAGATAGTAGATGTCAATTTACGGTCATATACATAGAAAATAACCAGAAAATCGTGCCTTGAACACAAGCTTATGAATATGCCGACATACAATTTATGTGTTAAATAAAAGTTTTAAAACGTGTTCTGTACATGTGTTCAGATGAATTGATAGTTGCTTGATTTGTTCATACCGAAAATATTCACTATTTTAGTCTGTCTTTCAGAAGCATAGTTTTAAAGAATTCCACTGTTCGTGTGCTGTTGTGGTTATGAAACTGCATAGGAAGCAACAAGTATCATATTGTTTTGTGTACAGGTAGCTGTCTACTGATAATAATATTTAATTTTATAACAACTGTCAGGCTTACTTATTTTACATATTTGATCCATTGATATATATTAGTACGACGAAAGTAGGATATTATTTTCGGATGTACTTAAAGGGACACTAGCTGTCAAAATCATCAAATTCTCATATTTGGTTTTTAACATACTAAAACACATATCCAAATTATGATAAGTCTTAAATAAACAGTTAACAATGCATATACTAGATAATATATATTAGAATTTCGTGTGTATTTGAGTCTAGATGCCATCCAATTATCTACCGAGATGACATCCGATAACTACCGATGGTCATAACACGATATAAACATAAAAAGGTATCTTAACTTTTAAACCCGCTGCATTTGTTTGCACCTGTCCGAAGTCAGGAACCTGGTGTTCAGTGGTTGTGGTTTGTTGATGTGGTTCATAAGTGTTTCTCCTGTCTCGTTTTTTATCTAGATTATCAATATATCTGCCCTGAAATTTTCGGACGCATCAGACAACCCGTTGTTGGGTTGTTGCCCCTGTATTGGTAATTTTAAGAAAAATTTGCAATTTCTGGTTATTATCTTAAATATTATAATACATAGAGATAAACTGAAAACAGCAAAAGTGTTCAGCAAAGTAGTATCTACAAATAAGTCAAATGTTCAAAATTGTCAATTGACCCTATAAGAAATTATTGCCCTTTAAATCAATTTTTCACAGTTTTTTGTAAATTTGTGCTATCTTTTACAAGAATCTTCTTCTCTTAAACTACTTAGCAAAATTAAACCAAACTTGGCCTAAATCATCCTTAGAATATCGAGTTAAAAAAAATTAACCGATGACCCCGATTTTTACCAATATGGCCGCCATGACTAAAATTAAACATAGGGGTTAACTATAGAGGTCTTTGGGAAAATTATAAAAAAATAATTTCAAGTGGTCACTTTGAACTTGAAAACTAATTTAAACAATGATAAGGGGTCTTTCGTAACTATTGTAAGACTGCAATGAGATGTCTTGCTTTTAATTTAACTACTGGGCCAAATTAAACCAAACTTGATCTCAATCATTATAGGGGTATCTAATACTATTTATTATGATTTTCACATGATTTCCAAAACCACACTAGATACAGGTGACCGACACAGGCTCTTGAGAGCCTCTAGTTTATATATATCGTAGCTAGGGCCCCTTTAATATGTTGAATAAAACAATGGATACATTAAATTTAGTATATGTATTTTGGCTAAGTATATTAAATACACATCTTATAATTGTGATTTTTAATAAATTGAATTTACAGAATCTAAGATTATTTGTTTATAGACGTTATAAACTATTTTATTTTAGTACTAGTATCATTTTCAGTCTTCTTTTTCAACTATCATCCAACCAAAGCCCCAAATAAAAACCCTTTGTTTACCTTACATCTCATCTAGCCAACCTTTACTTTTTAACTGTACTACCTATAATTTAAAAAAGTTTGCTTATGTGAATGAACCTCGGAAACCAGTAGAAATCAAACAAAAGAAATGGAACTATTGACTAGAGAAGGTAAAAATGGTCACCGATATTGTTTACGACTGTTTGTATGACCTTTAAAAGTTAATCACATGGTAACGTAATATTTTAAAATGAAACCGTCTAACGAAGGCCATATCAGTCGCTTTGGCTACATGGCCTTCGTTGAGTGCCTGCGATTTTCTACGTCGCACCTTTGTTCTTAATTGTGAAGTTGCGTGATAACCGCAATTATAGACGTCCCAGATAATAGGCAATTGGCAGTTTTTGCTCATTACCTTGATTATCATGATATATGACCAAAATTGTAAATTGACCTCGTATGGAGTAATTGGACTTAAGACGGTTTTTCACATTTTATTCTTTATTTTCTTCAAGTTGAAAAAATCTTCTCTTCTAAAACTACTTGATCAATTTCAATTAAATTTGGACTGAATAATCGTTAGTTTTATTAGTATTAAGTTTGTGATTTCACTTCTTGCTCGCAAAGACAAATGGCCGCCTTTGCTAGAATTAAACATAGGGGTAAATGTAGATTTCGGTTTTTAATTTAAAAACTAAAGCAGTTGTGAAGTTAATATTATCAACAAGTCATGATCTCTCCGTTTGTGAAATTTTTAGACATTTGACAATTTGACAATTCATTTCCAGGTAACTGCCCCTAAAATGTTTACCGTATGAAAAGTTTGCAATTTTCGATTATTGTCTTGAATATTATTATAGATAGAGAGAAACTGTTAACAGCAAAAACGTCAGAAAAATAGAATCTACGAATAAGTGAATATGACTGAAATTGTCAATTACCCATTATTGGCCATGGACGATTTTTACAATTTTTTGAATATTTTTAAAGAAACTATGACAGAAACAGAAAAACTTTTAATATAATTTTTAATACACTTATACATTTTCAAACATGGTTTTAACATCAAAGTGCTACCTGAGGTAACCTTTCTGCACTAAAATATATAGATTATGTTAGCCTGTTCATCCAACTACAAAGTTTCCTTAAACTTTTAATGGGCAGAGACATTTTACTATTTTTACAATTTAAGGTCCAAATAATGCCTCTTATCATACCTCCTTCTTAGAACTTATGATTAAATATTTATATCGTCTACTTTAGATTTGAATTAATACAATAATATGTAGCTTTTTATCCCTATTATTACAAAACCTGCAGTAGTGATATTATCAAACACCTACTAAATTTTTCTTAATTTTTACTAAAGTTAAATATTGATGGAACCATGGTAGCCATGAAAGAAGATGATGATACGATTGTTGTGGTAGATGTTGAAGCCAGGACAGTTGTAAAGGTGATGGTAGATGAATTAAGAATGAAGTTTGGATTAAACTTGTCTGACTCGGTATCGCCAAAATTGGTGCCAGATAAGAAGAGCTTCATAGTCTTTTCTGGTGAAAAAGATAACATACCGACTCATTTTCTGTATGACTTTAAAAAAGGTATGTAGAGTCTGTTAGTTAAGAAAGTGAAGCCATAATGAAAAGTAACTTTCTCAGATTTTTAACCATATAATGACAATTTGCACCTATTTTGATTTTGGTCAAAAACTTTTTTTTACCAAAACATCGACTTTTCCATTGCTTTATATGCGGTACCCATTTTATTTCACAAAAAATATTAAATAAAATGAAATTTTCTCAATTTTATCATATAATGCCATTGTGAATCTCCTATTTTTTTTCATTTGTTGGCCGGATTGTACGAATTCCAAAACCGGCTTATAGCATGGTGATGTTGCATGGACTGACGGGTACTCGGATTTCGGGCAAGCGTGGAAAAAACGGCGACATACTTAGTGTTATGAACTCCTCTTACAGTTTAAACCTAGATCCCTGAAATTTCACAGAAGGCTAAATTGCACATATGACGAAGATGTGCACCTGTTATAATGGAATCGTTGAAGAAAAATTTCCAATTTTTCCGGAATTTGGAAATTAGTGATTTTCCTGCAAACTTTGCAAAGGAGTGTACCATTTTTTTTAGACAACTCCTTCTAAACCATGTACTGTTTTCAACCCAAAATCTCTGAAACAAAACAGGATCACAGCATGTTGTGACATTATGACTTGACACATACAAAAAGATCGTGTTTATTTTCTTTTATATATATTTTCCCTTGAAACTTCTACATATTAGTTTTCGTACACTTAAAAAACATCTGTTCACGTTTAAACAAAATTCAGATCGTAAAAAAAGACCGCAAATGGTTTTTGTTTTTTCATAAGACACATAACAAATACGCCGAAAACGTCAAAAACGACCTGTGTGACATTTCAACAGATTTAATCAAATGAACAATATAGGACATAATTTAAATATTATTCACTAGTTAAAGACACAGATAGTTTTATATCTATTGTATAATTTTGACACAGGAAGGATGAATATGTAAAATGTGATTTGTGTCTGTAGCATTCCTTCGAATTTTGAAGAGAATTTTATCAAGAGAGATTTGTGTTTGTGAAATAAAAATTTCAAATAATCATAAATTCTGCGACGATCTTTTGAAATGTTGTTACAAAACCTTTTTTTTACATTTTTTGGCTTTTCCACAAAACTATTCGTCCTTGTCAGGCGGGTCCATTGAACGATGACTCATAAGTTAAAACATACGTTATTAACACAAAAGACTGCTCTTTTAATGAATACCCCGAAAACAAAACAAAGACGAGAATAGCATTAAAACAACGCTGGTCATACGTTGCAGTGTAATTTGTCCTCACGCGCAAACTCGATTATTCCAGTTACAAAATGTAAAAAGTATTGATTTTAAGGCATATTTCATTTTTAATTTTAATTACGCACATTTAGTTATATATATGTATATAGTTATCAATTTCGAAACTTCGAACAAATACAAAAAAGGCGAACTGGAATGCAGTAGCCGTATCATCACTAACACCGTATGCGACGTCACTATGAGTGCAGCCAAAACTATCTATGTGGGGGAAAGTAAGGCATGGCATGACCTACATAAATAAAATTAAAAAAAAGCAGTAATACTCAACACAAAGAAATACCTAAATAACTCATATGTTAGTACATTCAAAATATTTAAATCGCAGACTAACAATGTACATCTCCTATGAATGAGAGAAACTGCGCATAAAAGCGTCAACGTCACAAAAAAAAAAATCCAACCGAACTGACATAAGAAACATAATAACTAAATACATGAATGCTGGATATATAAATACTGAGCCACGTCACATCGTATATCAATGTGAATTCACATTCGGCAAACAGTCATATTCGGGAATAGGTCACGTTCGTTACTAATCAGATCAGACGACTATGATGATAAACCACAATCTTAGACGCGGACAAAATGTCATTACTTAGTTTAGACACAGACACATCGTATAGATCAACCAATTCATTATAGTGTCCATAAAATGTACGGAGTTTCAATTTTTATCTTACCTCCCCATAACTCTGTTGGAACAATTTCTGCGTACGGAGCATACTCCTGTATATGAAGTCTGTATAGTGTGAACATGCACGAGCATAACGTATCAACTGAGATATGTAAACACCATACGACGTATGTTACTGCTATGAAATGGGAAATTGATAATTGGAAAGTTGAAATCATCACCGTTTGTCATAGATTTTAGTCTGAAGTCGTCCATCTGTGTCAATATTCAGGAAAAGATCAATGTATGAAGCAGACCTTCTAGTATGCATAGTATCCTTAATTTCAAGTTCACTGGGATATACGATTTGTAAGTACTCACTGATATATTGGTTATTCAGTGATAGGACATCATCAATATATCTGAAAGTAAAATTAGACAACTTCCCAAGTTGCTTTTCATTTTGTCTTTTAGAAGGTTCTGAATGAATTCCTCCATTGGAAAACGAACTGTATGTTGAAATATCAATCCTCTAAACTCAACAAATATGTTGTCGATAAAAAAGTCCAGCATTTTTATAATATCATCGTCAATTCTTCACAAAATAAAAATTTTATAACCAAAAACAAGAAGTGTATATCTACGATTCTAATTTTTATATATATAAAGAAGCTCTGTTTAATGAACCTGTGAAGTCGATCTTCCAATATTTAGCATGAAGAATAGTAGTATAAAGCGTGGAAAAAACGACTTAATGCTAGAGCAAAATTGCAGAGATTGATTTGAGATTTAGCAGTAGATCGTTTGAATTTTTTTTAGAATCCGCATCTGATCGACACCACTGGTTGAATATATCTCATCACAATATTTCGGAAGGCCATCTTTAACTGTAGAAAGAATAGTAGTCAGCACTTTAGAAAGATGATTAGTTGAAAATCTTCACGATCCAGCTATGTACCGTTCTATATAAGGAGTTTTGTAAAGTTTAGGTATCAAGTATAATGAAGAGAGATTTTCTACGTCTTCTTTGATGTGAATACCTAAAGAAAGCAGAAAAGATTTGTGTTTTCTAAATTTCATCCTTTGTAAATGATGTTTAAAAGTATGTAGGATTATCATTTTTTTCTGTTAATTACAAGCTCTTTTATGAGACATTACAAATATTTTTACCTATGAAAACAATATTAATAGAGGCTTCATTTGCTTGAACAACGACATATTTGTCATGAAGAGAGGATAAAGCATCCACAACCTCCGGCTTTTTGAATGGGTTAGAAACCCGTGTGCTCATATTACATCGCAGTGTCTTAATGCGACTCTAAATGCATTATCGAATGAAAACGAAAATTAAAACTGGGTTTGTTTCAAAGAGGCAACAACTCGACCAAATACCGAAGTTGTTTAGATTCGGGCAATATTGTGTGCATAAAAATAATATCTATGAAGACAACTTTTTAAAAAAAATCAGTAAGTCAAAAATCTTCTAAGTGATTGATCATTTAGACATAAAGTCATTTATTAAAGCACTTAAACTCTCCTTGGTAAAAAGATTTTGGACCCTTTAAATTATTCTTCATGGAAAGTTCTATTGGCATATTCTATTGAAATTAAGGCCACACCAATTTGATTTTTAGTTCTTCGGACAAAAGCTCCAAAAAATATGGGGCGAGTGAGCGAATTTTTTTGATTGTATTTATTTCTTGAAAATGAGTTTTGTTGAGGCGGGTGCTCTACAAGTGGAGCGAGCGGTATAATATTTTTTTTTAAATTGTGCGATTTATAATTTTATGTACATGTAAAACTGGTTACTTCAAAGAAAAAGGAAGATAAACATGTTCTTATGCATATAATTTGATGTATTTGTGCCTGAAGTACAGTCTGTACCATACCCAACTTTCTGGTTTGCTTTGGTTTAGTATAATTTTGATTATTTTCATCAAATAATCTTTGACTGCGTGAATTTTCATTAAAAATTAAATTCATACATGCGTATATATTAAGGAAGCATAGCAGATGCAGTTTAGCAAGAGGAATTATGTTAGTGAGGTAAATTTAAATGAAATGTGTTGAATACAATTAAAATATGTGTATGTCTTCCAAAAAACGCCCATGAAAAATATTAATTATCTTTTGATATAGTTGTTTTTATTATATGGTAATGATTGTTTATTGGCTGCTTGACATCCAGTTAGAACTATTTATCCATAATAGGATCAACATAAAGAGTAAGGTGAATAGTTCAACAACATCCTCAGTAAGATAGTTATATTGCTATGCATGTAGATCTCAATTTATTAAAACATTCCCTTAAAATATCGTTAACCACATTCACATGCATTATTCTGACTTAGCAAAATACTTTTTCCTTTTGCCCCTGAAACCTGCAATATATTTCAAACTGTAAGTGGTTGCAGCAATAACACATCCCTAATTATTATTAGCATGCCAATCCCAATACCACCACTTTGGTTTCGAACGTTGGAACTCTTAAATTTTCCCTTACAAAAGAGTTCTGATTGCATGTCAATAGACTAACAAGGGGATATGAGGTTTTCATCAAAATAAGATTAATCTGTCATTTTTTAAAAACTCATGTGAATTTAATATTAATTTCATCCAAGACAGATAGCTCTTTCTATGTCTGTTGTAGTCCGAGATTACGCTGACGTCCAACAGCTGTTTTGCAGGACAAGCTGGGGCCGTGGGACAACAGCACCCCATCTTGTCCGGCAAAACAGCCGTTGGACGTCAAAGTTATCTCGGACTATGTCTGTTGAAACAATGATCGGGTATGACAATGGTTCTAACTTCTAACAAGTACTGATGTGATCGTGGTCACCTAACGAAAGATTTTTTATTTTTGTCTCCTAGAACAGGTCATCATAGGTAAAACAAAATGCGTTTAAAATAACTGTGTGTTTAATAACTACTTGTCCTCGGCAATGATCTGACACAACTTCATGTTGGCATCCCGATTTTTGACCTTTAATTTACAAATCGATTTAGCACACGTGCGTTTGAATCGATCGGAGCAATATATGTACAAGAAAAACGTCTAAAAGAAAAAAAATGTCAAGGATAAACTAATTTTGGAGCGGCATGCGGCCCAAAAATTGGCGGAAGTGGTAATTATTTTTTTTTATTGAAAAGTCAATTTCTCCAAAACAGGAGCGGGAAAATCCAAAGAACTATTAATCAAATTGGTGTGGCCTAAAGGAGGAGAAACCATTTGAAATTTATTAATATCAGCAATCATTAAAAATAACAGCAAATTAAACCTATTTTGGCAAAATGTTTTTTTTTTTTAGAAATTTGCTGTTTTAAAATTTAGAATTATTCGAAATACTAAGGATTTTCTACTCCAGGCACAAGATTACCTTAGCCGTATTTGGCATAACTTTTTTTGGAATTTTATATTCTCAATGCTCTTCAATTTTCTTCTTTATTTGGCCTTAAAATTATTCAGATTAGAGCGTCACTGATGAGTCGTATATAGATGAAACACGTGTCTTGTGTAGAAGAAATTATAATCTTGGTACATTTGATAAGTCTTTTCATCAGAGTCCTCATTGTGTTAGACTCCGTCTACAGACCAAAGGGATATTTTGTCTAGACCGTTATTTCTGAATGATGACATTCTAATTGGTGGGAAATCAGTCTTATACAAAAATTGGATACAGATTTTTTTATGTAAATGACATTATTTAAGACACTGGAGAAATTTATAATTTTCAGATGTTTATCAGAAATGGAATTATAGAAACAACTTTCCTAGAATTTAATGGACTAATATATTCACTTCCAAAATAATGGTTAAATATATTCCACTCAAGAGTCAATTTTAAACTTAATTTTGTCTGTAACAAAAACCTAATTGCCATAAAAACTATTGAAAAAGTTTCCAAATATTTCTATAAATTCTTTGTAAACAAAATAAGGGAAACCATAATTATTATGCAAACAATATTTGGAATACAAAACTGGAATCAAATATCCAGGCTGAAGAGTGGAGCTCCTAACGCATTTCAGTATGGATTAGTTCATAGAATTCTAAGAGTTAATAAGTTATTATTGAAATTTAATTACAGTGAAACAGAATTATGTACCTTCTGCACAGAAACAAAAGTGACATACGTACTTAAAGATAGATGTGTGCGAACTTTTTGGTTTGTTTTCTGTCAAAAGTTTAATGGCTCGTGTAATATAAGTTTTCAATTAAGTTATCAAGTATAATACTGGGAGTTAACTATCATGCTTTGAAGATGTTCTAATATGTGTATATTGATAAAGGGGCCATGGTGGTCGAGTGATGTAAGAAGTTACTACTGTAATCAATAGCCAGTTAACACTGAGGTTGTGAGTTCGAACCCCGCTTGGGTGGGTGCACTCGACTCCAATCTTAATTGACTAGCTTTGTCGGTTTCCCTATCGAAGGTCGGTGGTGTTCTCCGGGCACTCCGGTTCCCTCCTCTTATATAAACTGGCCTACACGGAAAAGCCCTGCAGCGGCGCTTAAAACTGACGTTAGAACTCCAACAATCAATCAATCAAAGCAAAGTGATACTTAAAAAATATAATTACTTATGTAGAATAAAATTTAAAATCCGGTCGATTGTCGAAGCGATTGAATGGCTAAGATATTATTATAGAATTGACATCCTCTCTGAGTTTGTGCTCGATCAATAAAGCAACTAAAATAAAAAAGAAATGTAATATATCAGATAAATCATCTTGGAAAGGGCTTAAAGATGTATACATCTTTGTTTTTTAAATAATTTTACAGAGACACAATGTTTTGTTATTATATTTTGTTTACATATATACAACTATATAACTATGAAATTAGCAAAGGGAACACATGAATTAAAACCTTCATTGTTGGCATGATATGTATAGTTATGTAAATTCTAACATGCAGATCTCTGATAATAATGAAAAAATACAAAATGCATTTGAATTTGCTGTAAACATAGGCAATAGTAGTTTACTGATGTTCAATGGTCATAATTCGATAAAGACGAAACAAGTCAATACAAAAAAAAAACACACCCGTGGGAAATGCTAAACTACGAGAGGGAAATAACAGAAGGCACATTGAAATCCACCAAAACCAAAATGTTACCCATTTACTATAAAAAGAAAAACAAATATGAGAAACTTTTACTTCGTAACTAGTAACTGAAAATAATGACCATCATTGTCACTGATATAAAAAAAAAACTATCAAATACATGTATTTTTTATCCAATAGTACAACATTGAATTTTGTTTCTAGTTGAAAATAAAGGATATTGCTTATTTGTCCATGGCAAATATTCAATTGAACACTGGTCATATTTTTTTTTCAGAGAAGCTGATAAAAGAACTTACAGATTTTGATTTCCTGGAAAAGGCATTAAGAGAACATGAAAGTATTCATCCGAGTAATTGTATTCTCCTTGATGATGATATTATCTTGTCTACTCATTTTGATACACTCATGCGTGTCTGGTCTACAAAAGATGGTAATGTTCTCTCCATATAAGCTATACGCATGTAACTTTTGTTTGCATATATCTTGGTAAATTTACCAATTGACCGTTTTGTGTTTTTCCTACTTACCTTACAAAATCATTGCTGACGTGGATTTTATAAAGCATTTGTGATTAACCATTGATTTGATGTAGTGAAACAACACACAAAATTTTCCTTTTCATTTCAGGTTCTCTACTGAAACGAGTCGCTGGACATAGACTAAGAGTTCATAATCAATCTTATGGAGATAGATCAAATTATATTTCTATGTATTACACTCCTCAGTCACCATTTATATTGACTTGCGAAAGTGATAGGACAACAACTCTTCGTCTCTGGGATAAGAAATCATTCTTGCAGTTATCATCTCTTACCCTTGATAAAAAGGTAAAGTTTCATATAAATGTCCAGACCATATGAGTATTTGGACCGTACGCGTACGGCCTGGACCGTATGCGTACTTTTTTAAAAATACGCGTACGGTCGGACTGTACGCGTACGGTCTGCATAATTTTAAGATGTTGGTCAAGTTTATTAGATAAAAATGTATATAACAGATCAACATAACTGAAATCTCTAATTAATGAAAAGTTTAATTGTAAATGAAATAAAAACTTCATATTCTAACTATTTAAAAAAGTCACGTGAATTTAATCTGTTAAGCTCCTGTATTTAGCATGCCAGTACGTAATACATGAGATTTGATTATGCTCACTGAAATTGAAGTTACCGGAAGTAAACATAATGTTGGAAGAAAAGATTTTAGAATATTTAGGAACTTTACTACAAAAACGGTAAAAGATACTGGACAAAAACTATATAAAAAAAAAATCGTCGAAAATACAATGAGAAAATATAATAAAAACGTGTCGAAACTAATGCAAAGAATGAATAAGGTAGCTTTGTTACTCTAATAATAGCTGTTGCTGATCAGATCCTTCCCGATTATTACGTAGGATTGATGATATATTTCCCTTTATCAATCTAATTGTAATAATATTCATTTGTAAATTCAATAAAAGATTTTGATAAATTTTTGTCTAAAATTAACCCATATGGTTCAAATACATATATGGCCCAGTTCATCCTAGACCGTATGAGTATACTCATATGGTCCGACCGTACGCGTATGGTTGGACCGTACGAGTATACGCATAGGGTCCGGACCGTACGCGTACAGTCCAAATACTCGTATGGTCTGGAACATAAACATAAGAAGGTGTGATGCATGATATCCGACGAGACCACTTTCCATCAGAAATCACAATAGATGATAAGATGATTATTAATATAAACAGAAAACAGTATTGATTGAAGATATAAATGCGATAATTTCCCCAGGTCTTTTGTTTTTTCAGGGGGGAGGTGGGTTTGAAATTATTGTTTTAAGTTTTGTCCTAAGGCATTGACCTGAAAACTAGGATATGTCCAGATTATCTACTAAATCCAATTAACACGATGCAATGAAGTTCCCAGTTATCATCATTCTGTGTAGATACGGACTTATAAAATATGAACAAAAATGGTAAGATGGTAGGAGCATTTCATTTAAGTATGTAGACCTATCTTCTACCGTTAGGGAATAATAAGTTTCGACGATTCAAATGTCCTGGACATACGATTTAACAAGAATTAAAATCAGCTTACCAATAAAAGTAAACTTCTTATTCAAGTCATATTTAAAAGATTGTAAATGACAATGATGATCACATTTTAGAAATATAACAAATATATCTAGAAATTATCACAAAATATGCCGTTATGTCCTTTTTAATGCTTTAACGGCGACATTTTTATAGCTGGGTTGTATTATGTGGTATCATCACAAAATCTAACCTGCACATGCTCAAATTTCTAAGTTAAAACTACCAGAACTACCAAGAACTACCTAAAATTCCGATAAATTTATTATTTGAAATAATTCCTCAGAAAGAGAACTAAATACCCCCTTCCCCCTTCGTCAACCATAAAATTGAATGAGTGTCGTAACTCATAATGTTAAAAATGGATAAAACAAGAAAAACAGACAAAAAATCCTTGGATTCTTTTTTCCATTCAATAATGGAAATAGTAGATATTCGTATTAAACATTTTAAAGAACATTTTACACCTTTTACCAACCTTAATAGCCTAATTCTCGTATCAAACACAGACTAAAAGAACTCCGCAAGCAATTTGTTTTTGTCCCGGCTGATAAGGCTTTTAATAATATTGTTTTTGTTTGACTTAAATTTGAAGTTCTGCAAAAGGAAATCATAAATTCCCAAACTTTTCAACTGACTCAATTTTCGGAAAATGAAATCGTTAACAAACATAAACTGATTACTACTTCTTTACCAGCTGAACCGATGACATGAAAGTTCCAACTATATACTAGCTTCCCAAACTTCACAAAACACCTTACAAATACGGATTTATTTCGTCTGCAAGACATTGTTCTATTTTACTACTAAACTGTATATTCTACTTACTTGTACAATTGGTACAATCAAAAACAGTGTAATAAATTTTTCAAATAAGGTCTATGAAAATACTGGTATGAATTTCTTTTGGAGTGTCAATAATTCGTTGGGAATACTTGATAAATTGGATGCTTATTTTGCAGATTTAGAATCTGTTAAAAGTTTAAAATTTTCTACCCGTTATAATTCTTTGCCTTATTCATTTGTAAAGAAAAAAATTGACATACCTAATTAGATGGGCATTTACAAAGTCGGAATGTGAAAAAAATATGTTCAAACTCTTTTCGTTTTTTTTTTTAGTAACAACAAACAAAATAATTATGTTTGAATTTTTACCGGACAACATTTTTTGTTGCATTTCGTTGGAATAGGGTTTTTCTTGCTCAAGAGGTTTTTGCATCACAATTTAATACTTTTTAACAATATAACTAAATATATAAAGTAAACTAGATTGTTTGGCGTTTTTTTATGCAACGCTATAGGTAAAGACATGATTTTTTTTTCTATCGGTTCACTTGAGGTCTGGAGCTGGCATATCAGCAACTGCTAGTAGTTTTGTTAATTTGGTCGATCATTGTCTTTTGGTTAGTTTCTTACGTTGCCTTATCTTACATTGGACTCGGATTTATCTTGAACTGAATTTTCATTGTACATATCACTGTGTATTTATTTATTGTACATTGGCTAAAGGTGAAAGTTGAGAGCCCACAAAATATGTTTAACCCCGACGCATTTTTGCGCCTGTCCTAAGTCAGAAACCTCTAACCTTTGTTAGTCTTGTGTGTGTTTTCAAAATTTTGGTTGCTGTCTGTGTGTAGAGTGTAGAGTGACGTCCATTTTTCTTTTTAGTGTACACAAGTGTTTCGGGGCCTACTCAACCCTCCATCTGGGTATTGGATTCTTCGCTGCGTTGAAGACCTATTGTGGCATTTTTCTGTCTTATACATTTTGGTCGAGTTGTTGTGTCTTTGACACATTCCCCGTTTCCATTCTTTATTCTATTTTAAATTCCTTGAAAACAATATAAATCTTGGAAGGGATTGGGAGGTAAATCCGAGAATCCGGTAAATTTTAAAATCCTACACATTACCTACTGGTTTAGATTTATAGAACCGGATAGAACTGACAAATTAAAATTGTTTTGATAGAAAATTGTGATACAGTAAATATATAGAAAATTTCTTAAAACAAAAAGATTTTCAAATGGTTGTTTAACAAATGATTTTTGATGGATATGAAAACAAATTTTCTTTTCTAAGAAAAAAATTAACAACCCCCCCTTTTCCAGCCACTTTAATAGACACACACAAAGTTAGTTAATGGTTCTTTATTAGCTAATTTTGACGGCTTTAATCACACATAATCTACGCCAATTGTACTTCACAAGGTTGCATCTTGACAGTTATGTCCTTGTTGGTGATGCTTGAGGCCAAAATATTCAAAATACATATTCAAATACAAAAATAAGCAGTTGTATAGAAAAAGACAAATTGTATAACCAAATCCACACAAGGAATAAGAGCTCTGTACGATGGAAATGAAAGACAAAACATCACAGATTATAAACCTCTATTAACTATAAACTGACATGGCCAATCAGTGTAAATAAAATGGTGAAAATCGGCAAAAAAGGACTATGACTCAACAGATCAAAACAAGAAAAAAGAAAAAAAAACAGCAAACAAAAAGACTAATCATATAGTATTGATCTTATATAAATAGTAAATATATATACGTGTTGATTAGGTGATTTTTGTTTAGAATTAAAATATAAACTATAGAACTGGTACACAATATTAAAAACATTTAAAGTACTATCATATGCCATAACTTCTAATTGAAAAATTTAACGACAAAATAATTAACATTTGCAATTATTTATATTATTAGTTGTGGGTTATATAAGAAAAAGGGATACAAATTTACAATGTTTGTGCTGTATAATCATGTGTTCTACCTGGAAGTCAATTTTTGATAATGATATAGATAAAATATAAGCATATTAACCAATTTAAATATTTTGTCTTACTAAATTAGCGGACAATTTATAACATACATCAATTTTAATAAAAAAGAATATGATTTATAGGGGGAACACTTATTTAATTTGACAATTATATCAAGTATCATTTTGAATTTGTATGACTATAACAAACTATAACAAGTAGGATGCAAAATGAAAACTCTTAAGTGAAATCATTTCATGACTACCGATAATAAATTTGTAGTTTGGTATTTTGTAGATTGTTGATATTAAATTGAATAGTGATGGTCTATCATTTGTGAGCTATAGTGAGGATCCCAATGTTATTGTACGATGGACAATAGAAGGAGCCAATGTGGGGAAAAGTAGTTTATCGAAGTATCCTGCGATATTTAAAGGAAATGGTTAGTTTTTATTTTTTAATCTGAAAATTGTACAGTGAATAACAAGGTCATTACCTTAGTTAAACTTAATTAACCATGGGGCTATGAACAAGAACAATGTTTGCTCTTACATTAAAACCACTCCCAGTGGGGTAATGAAACTTCTTGTGATGATTCATTTCAGTGGTACAATGAAGAAAGACGTTGAGGCCATATTAAAACAAACTGAAGTTCAACTAAGTCAATTATCACGATTATGCTACCTCACATACAAAGTCATTGGAGTATAGTTTTAAAACTTGGCATGATAATTCACCACCCAAAGATGATTAGTGATGTATATGAAATTAAACTTTATATTTATGATTATGTTAAAAACTTAGTTTTCTTCCAAAACTGTCACATTTGTAAATATTTTTTTTGGCTATTTTTCATTGTTAGAACTGTCCTAAACGTCACTGCATTGGATATTAAAAGAAGAATCATGTATCATTAAAATATCTGGTAATTTTTATAACACAATGCATAATGCTACAAATGGTGAAATTATTACTTATAAAACCGATTTCTAATTTGAATTTTTTCGATTGCCTGGAATTCCTTTAATTTTGGTCTACCTTTTTCTTTTCGTAAACGTGATAAACCACCTCTCCATACATTTTTACTGTGTGAAGCGAACTTACCGGATATGCACCGAACATGTACACTTCCAATTAAAACACAGGTGACCCACAAGTTTACTTAATTTATTTAAGATACTTTGGGAGAAATGAGATAAAATACTCAAAATCAAGTTGTGAGTGCATTTTTGTTTTTATAATTAAGCAGAAATGTATCAAAGCCTTAGGTTTGCGCATTTAATGAACTGCATCGTACATGAATCCGTATGTTGAATATACTTAATGAAATTGCACTAACAATATTATTTGGCATCCGTCTGCGTCGATCGTCGATGTCCGTCAACAAATTAACATGGCCAATGTTGCTAAAAATACATCAAAAAACTAAAGCAGTTTGAGAAAACATGACAAGATATTAATTGAACTATAGTTTGCGATACGATTCTGTGGGGGAATTCGATGTTTCCTATGCCATAGTTAGACCTTGAACTATCTAAAAGTGCCGAAAAACTATAGTGCAGGTTGTGACTGGCCTATTTTTTTGTTACTTTGGTTTTGTACATTTGAGACAAATGAAATGCTTTGCCTTGTTTAACCGAAACCGTTTAATCTTGTAACATTTTTAAAGTCTAACCCAAGTTCTTATTTCTCAGTCTTTAGTTTTTTATGTTGTGTTTTGTGTACTATTGATTGTCTGTTGGTCTGTTTCTTTGTTAGCCATATCGTTGTCAGTTTTTTTTGTTTTACTTATAAGTTTGAAAGTCTCCCTGGTATCTTTTGCCTCTCTTTTGTATACAAATTAGAAAACAAAAAATATATATCCCAAAAGTAGAACAATACATAGCAAAAGTAATACTGAGAAAGCGCAGGTAGGTCCTATAAAAATCATATAAAGTAACAAAGAATGCATATATTTTGAAAATATTTTTGTTTGTAAGTTTACGAGTTCAATAGTGTTGATTTTAATAATCAGAATTGAACGTGTGACACAAAAAAGTGGCAATAGCAGTTGAGACTGATTTTCTTCAATTTTTGCTGTCTTTTTGTTTTGTTCTGTGTTTTGCATGTTTTATGTTCGTTGAAGAGTCTTTTGTAGACGAAACGCGCGTCTGGCGCAAATACAAATTTTCAATTTTGTATCTATGATGAGTTTATATACCACGCGGGTTGTTATTTAGATATTCCGCTTCTGTACATTTAGTTATAACTTTTTTTATACTTATAGTTCCGGTTGGTCATTTTTTGCACAGGTTGTCATTTGATTTCCTTTGTGTTATTTGTGTTTTTGGTTTTAACTCTTGTGTTCTGTAACAAACTAATCTACTAAATAATTACAAAGCATTTAAAATATTGTTCAATATGGAAAACAAAAGTACTCATATTTTTGTAAACAATATAAAAATTAACTTCTAACTATATACTTGACGTTTTGTGGTTACTACCAGGTCCTCGATATCTTAAAACCCGTGTAAATAGCTTATACACTGACCGGTAAACCAGCTACAAACAACAATAGTTAAACAACCTATATAGACTTCCTATAATAATATCACCGACAATCTTTCATATTTATTCCGCATTACGCACATAAAATTCATTGCAAACTGAACACTGGACGAGTTCATGATTGTCATCAATGCACATTAGGTATGAAAGGTTCGATTTGCCTGTTCTTACTTTTTCACATATTTTTCATCTTAATGATTAAAAAAACTAGTAAATTCGTCAGAAATGTACAAAACGTAACAGATTACGTTTTTTGTCCTTTGGATGAGTTATTATTTTGAAGATATATTCTGAAATACGTTTTTTAACCATGTTTATGCAAGGTTAAATCTAAGTTGTCATATCGAAAAACAAACTTTTTTATTATTATTTTGCTGTTACAAATCCAATTCAACTCAAATAAAAGCAGTCATTTAATGAAAAGTCGAAATATAACCGATACAGTCATTTTTTATCATACAAAGTTAGTTAAAGCTGGTTTTATAGCTAGCTTAATTTTTCACTTGTATGATAGATGCATAGAATTCAATTATATTGACAACAATGTGTGAGCAAATCAAACAGACATCATCTGTAAAAATATCAAAAATTAGGTGTTGAGCATTCAAAGTTGTGTTATAATCTCATATACTATAAAATCAAAGCAAAACAAAATGGCAAACAGATACGCTGTAAGAAAAGCACAAATGATTTCAATTGAAATAACATATTACTTTGAAAAAATTACCATAATACTATATCACAATGGTGGAAAGTATAAAGCTTCATAACATTTATCCATGTATGTGCAAAGAAAAATGAGATGCTAAACATTTTAATTTCAGTGAATGACTCTGAACAGATACCAACCTTGAAATTTAAGAATAATAGTCCAGATAACAGTGACCTCAGTAGCGACAAAGAAAATGATTAAGACTAGTTAACAAATTACAGGAAAACCGAGAACGTCACATTTTAAGGATTGATATATAAGTAAAAGTACTTCATTCAATCAGTATTATTTAGAAAAAAGAAAAAAAAGCAGAAATCTGAAATTTAAAGAATTGGAGAATCGATCTGAATGAATTTTAAATAAAACCTTTGACTCAGCATTACTTTCTTAAACGTTTATTTAGCAGATTTAGATTATCGTCGACATCGATCCTACAGAATCCCTCATTCAGATATTGAGAAAGATTATATAGATTGAGATATTGAAATGTTTTTTTAATTTATTTTTACAGATCTATATTTCACTGTTTATTCTAACATTAATTTTGTTCATAAATAAAAGATAGATATAGTATACCATATTTAAAATAAAGTTATTATATATAAAATTGAGATTGGAAAAGGGGATTGTGTCGAAGAGACAACAATCCGACCATAGAGCAGAAAACGTCCCAAGATCACCAATGGGTGATCCACACAGCAAGAAAATTCTGCACCCTGATATCAATTAAAGTAGAGAGAAATACTAGTAAATTAAAATGTATTATGTTTTCAGAAATATAAGTTTCGCTTCACTTCAAGGTCGTTTACACAGCAAGTTGAGACATGTACGGCAAAACATTCTGTCTAAGACTTTCTACGTTTAAGACTTTAAAAACATGTGTGTGCGTGACATTGGGATTAGAACTTACTCTATTTCACATATTTATACATAGCACATTGAATGATCAGAATTAAAGCTAAGAAGTTTATGTTTAAGGTGGCTCAGGTGTCTTCCTCCATCTTGGATTTTTAAGTAGCTGATAACCATGGTCTAAATATTTGATATAATGTGCAAATTTTGAGAGTAGTATGTAATTTATGTAGAAGACTTTTGATGTAAATATAGAAAATTGTGTGTTTTATCATAATTACGGCTGTAATATCTCAAAAACACCTCGTTTGTGTTTGATTAGATTTTTTTCAACTTTGCCAAATAAGGGGAGAAGACTCAGATAAAGTAATATTTATAATAGAAAGTGTTGTGAATTTACCTATTTTGATATGTAGCAAGAAAACAAGTTCGGTGACACCATTTTTTCTTTTTCTTATCTGAAAGCTTGTTATAAGAGCTGTCTTCTTACATTTTATCTTTAAGTTCTCTCGAGTAGTTTTCTTTTTATCACACAAAATTTGATTTTCAATGCATAATCTATACAAAATCTGACAATTTTGAAAACACCTTTAAGCGTGAAAAAAAGTCCGGTGACCCATACTTTTTGATATTCCATCGTTTCTATGACAGTTCGCATTATCGGAAAAATATACCACAGGACTAACAATCCTCATCTGGCAACGCCTGTCCGTAGACAAAAAAGAGAACTACTGGATTCGACAATTGGGAACTATAACACCATATGGTTGCAATGACAAAATTGATAGTATAGGTATTCTATCTAGTCCTTCGTGTAGCTCGGTGAATGTGATGAATATTTTCAACTCTACTCCTCGACGTTGACGCAGTCATGGTCATCGTCATTATACATCACCTACTCTGCATGATGTCTCTATTAATGACTTGCTGCCATTTATACAAAAGCCATTAGTTATTTATCACATTCGCACGAAACTTTATTCATTACCCCTGTCAAAACTTTATTCACTGTTCAATTTATGTTTGGAAACCACTGTTACAAACCCTTATTCAAACCAATACAAACTTACAGCTATCATTTCGGATATTGAATATAACAGACTTTTCAAACCAGTTCGCATTGGAAGAGATGATAAAGAGAAAAGATCTTTTTTAAAACTTTCCTTTGCCAACAAAGGTCTCGATTGCGTCAACTTAGGCAATATCCTTCATCATAAATTAGTTCAGTCGAAAATATCTCCTTATTTCAAAGATAAGTCTGTACCAATCATTTCTTATACCTATACCAAACCAATTGCAACTAAAATTTTCAATTACAAACACGTTTTTCAGGATCTCAATATTGACGACTTCAAGTCTAAACCTCCTGATTGCACTTGTGCTAGTTCCCAATTCACATATAATCCAACTGGCCAGGTTATAACCGGTGACCTCAACATTGTCAATAACACTACCCTGTGAAATGTGTTATCCAAAGGTCCGAAATATCGTGAGCCTAAATCCATCAATTGGAAATACAACTTCAAAATACTAATGGATTCAGTCGAGGATTATGCCAGGCAATGGGCTAACGCGAGAAGGAAGACGTAGATATTCTTTCCGAATGGATTAAGGCTGTGAGGTCGTTGATACAAATCAGAATTAAGAAACTGAATTGGTCTATCAATACTCATGCTACTTCAATCTTTAAAGACCCAAATGTTGCAACACACTTGTCCTACCTCCATGACAAATATGTTGTTGTCCCCGCAGATAAAGCCCCAAACAACATCGTTTTTGTGTGTAAAACTCATTACATAAATTGCTTGATAAATGAATTAGGTATTGACAATTCACTTGGAAACTCAACATATACCCTCACTGCACTTACCAAAGAGGAAATCCTGGATAATCATAGGTATGTTCTATGTTCCTTTGTAATTTCAACCAAAGATGAAGAACTGGATCTTCCATCACTGTATTGGACACCTAAACTACATAAGTGTCCTTACAAACAACGGTATATTGCTGGGTCTTCCAAGTGCTCCACGAAACCTCTTTCTAAATTATTAACATCTATTTTATCAGCAATCAAAGCCGGGCTTCAAAGTTATTGCGAAACTGCCTATTCTAGAGTCGGAGTGAATCAGATGTGGATACTAAAAAATTCAATAGATCTTTTAGAGTACATACATCTTTCATCTTGCAAAAGTATTAAAACATTTGACTTTTCTACACTTTACACAAGTATTCCCCATTTCAAACTAAAAGACAAATTAAAAGTTGGTATTGCTTTGTTTCATAAAAAAGAATGGCCAACGTAGATACAAGATCATGTTACACAAACCAGAGTATTGTTGTAGATCATGTTACACAAACCATAGTATTGTTGTAGATCATGTAACACAAACCGGGGTATTGTTGTAGATCATGTAACACAAATCTGAATATTGTTGTAGATCATGTAACACAAACCATAGTATTGCTGTAGATCATGTAACACAAACCTGGGTATTGTTGTAGATAATGTAACACAAACCTGAGTTTTTTTTGTAGATCATGTAACACAAACCTAAATATTGTTGTAGATCGTGTTACACACACGTAAACATTGTTTTGGATCATGTAACACACACGTAAACATTGTTTTGGATCATGTAACACAAACCTGAGTTTTGTTGAAGATCATGTAACACAAACCTGAGAATTGTTGTATATCATATTACACACAAGTAAAATTTTTTTTGGATCATGTAACACAAACCTAAATATTGTTGTAGATCATGTAACACACACGTAAACGTTGTTTTGAATCATGTAACACACACGTAAACATTGTTTTTGATCATTTAACACGCACGTAAACATCGTTGTAAATCATGTAACGCAAACCTCAGTATTGTTGTAGATCATGTAACACAAATCTGAATATTGTTGTAGATCATGTAACACAAACCTGAGTTTTGTTGTAGATCATGTAACACAAACCTAAATATTGTTGTAGATCCTGTAACACACACGTAAACATTGTATTGGATCATGTAACACACACGTAAACATTATTGTAGATCATGTAACACAAACCTGAGTATTGTTGTAGATCATGTTACATAAACCAGAGTATTGTTGTAGATCATGTAACACAAACCTGAGTATTGTTGTGGATCATGTAACACAAACCTGAGAATTGTTGTATATCATATTACACACAAGTAAAAATTTTTTTGGATCATGTAACACAAACCTAAATATTGTTGTAGATCATGTAACACACACGTAAACGTTGTTTTGAATCATGTAACACACACGTAAACATTGTTTTTGATCATTTAACACGCACGTAAACATCGTTGTAAATCATGTAACGCAAACCTCAGTATTGTTGTAGATCAAGTTACACAAACCAGAGTTGTGTTATAGATCATGTAACACAAACCTGAGTTTTGTTGTAGATCATGTAACACAAACCTAAATATTGTTGTAGATCCTGTAACACACACGTAAACATTGTATTGGATCATGTAACACACACGTAAACATTATTGTAGATCATGTAACACAAACCTGAGTATTGTTGTAGATCATGTTACATAAACCAGAGTATTGTTGTAGATCATGTAACAAAAACCTAAGTATTGTTGTGGATCATGTAACACAAACCAAAGTTTTGTTGTAGATCATGTAACACAAAACTGAGCATTGTTGAAGATCATGAAACACAAACCTGAGTATTGTTGTAGATCATGTAACACAAACCTGAGTATTGTTGTAGATCATGTAACACAAATCTTAGTATTGTTGTAGATCATGTAACACAAACCATAGTATTGTTGTAGATCATGTAACACAAACCTGGGTATTGTTGTAGATAATGTAACACAAACCTGAGTCTGGTTGTAGATCATGTAACACAAACCTAAATATTGTTGTAGATCGTGTTACACACACGTAAACATTGTTTTTGGATCATGTAACACACACGTAAACATTGTTTTGGATCATGTAACACAAATCTGAGTATTGTTGTAGATCATGTAACACAAACCTGAGTATTATTTTAGATCATGTAACACAAACCTAAATATTGTTATAGATCATGCCGAAGTCGCACCAGTAGTAATGGGGGGAGTCTTCTGATGGTGGTGTCCAATACTCATACACATCATTTAGCACATCATCATCACAAGCCAATATGTCTTCTAATTCTGTTTCAGTCAATCCTAGTTTTGCTGTGTAATGATCAAGTAATTTGCTCATTCAAAAATATGATTCTTGTTTATTAGGATACTGCTAACAATGAGTTACACAATAAAATTTAATCACAGAGACTTAACATTGTACAAATGTATTTTGGGTTTCCCCTTTTTTCTTAGTCTCGTTTTGCATTTAGCTATCATTTGATACATAAACGACAATACACACCCTGGGGTTGAATGCCCCGCTCACACTTTACTTCTCTGTATTAAGCAAAATATGAAATTTTAGGTAAAACTTTAATTTTGCATACGATTTACATAGATTTAATCATGTTTATCATATGTTAAAGTCGATGTTATTGCAACGTTATCATAAACGTCCTCGACAAACACTTAAACCTTATCCAGGATTGACGAATGGATTGCCAAAGAAAACGCATTATGCTCCTAATCTATTATGGGCAGGGCAAAAAAAAAACTATACGTTATTTAAACTAAATATTGAAATATGTAGGCCAGAACATAATGTTGGGAAATAAGGTATCTTTTTTAT